CCCCCCCCCCCCCCCCCCCCCCCCAAAAAAAAAAAAATTAAAATAAAAAAAAATTATGAAGTGGGCTGGAATGAAGTCACCCGCGGGCCAGAAATGGGCTGCGGGCCACCAGTTGAATAGCCCTGGTTTATCTTATCTTTGCTACAAATAAAGAAAAATGCTAAACCTAATTACAATTTTAGAAAAGAAACAGCATTGTTCTGCAGATGAAAAAGTTTGCTTATGCAAAATTAAAAAAATGTGAACAGCCATAAATGTTAATCAGAGTCCATTGTTTGAGGGCCGAGATGGTGTAGAGGCAGGGCAGCCGGCCTGGGACCCAAATGTCCCAGGTTCGATCCCCAGTCACTGCACATCACGTGGTGTCTTTGGGCAGCACACCTCATCCCCAAAATGCCTCCCGGGCGCTTTCAATAGCTGCCCACTGCACCACCTGGTGGTGGATGGGTTAAATGCAGAGACTAATTTCGCCATTGTATGGAAACATACAGTGCTGACATTGTGATGACATTATTATTATTATTGTTTGACAGAAATAATTTGAGAGGACCATGCAGCTTCTGATGCTTGTAGCAGTACACCCAGAAAACAGCAGTGTAAACATATTTTAAAGAAGTGAATTATACAGTATATAGACCCGATGCTAGGCTCAGAATCAACGAGACAAGCAAATGGCTGATATAAACTAAACACACAGTACGCTGACATCCTTCATCAATGAAGGATTTACAAACTGGATTCCAAAAAAGTTGGGACACTGAACAAATTGTGAATAAAAACTGAATGCAATGATGTGGAGATGGCAAATGTCAATATTTTATTCGTAATATAACATAGATGAAAGATCAAAAGTTTAATCTGAGTAAATAAAACATTTTAAAGGAAAAATATGTTGATTCAAAATTTCACAGTGTCAACAAATCCCAAAAAAGTTGGGACAAGTAGCAATAAGTGGCTGGAAAAAGGAAATTGAGCATATAACGAACAGCTGGAAGACCAATTAACACTAATTAGGTCAATTGACGACATGATTGGGTATAAAAAGAGCTTCTCAGAGTGTCAGTGTCTCTCAGAAGACAAGATGGTAAGAGGATCACCAATTCCAGCACTGCTGCGCAGAAAGATAGTGCAGCAATACCACAATGGTGTTACCCAGCGTAAAATAGCAAAGACTTTTAAGTTATCATCATCAACCGTGCATAACATCATCAAAAGATTCAGAGAATCTGGAACAATCGCTGTGCGTAAGGGTCAAGGTCGTAAAACTCTACTGGATGCTCGTGATCTCCGGGCCCTTAAACGTCACTGCACCTCAAACAGGAATGCCACTGTCAAGGAAATAACAGAATGGGCTCAGGAATACTTCCAGAAAGCATTGTCAGTGAACACAATCCACTGTGCCATCTGCCATTGCCAGCTGAAACTCTACAGTGCAAAGAGGAAGCCATTTCTAAGTAAGCTCCACAAGCTCAGACGTTTGCACTGGGCCAGGGGTCATTTAAAATGGAGTGTGGCAAAATGGAAGACTGTTCTGTGGTCAGATGAGTCACGATTTGAAGTTCTTTATGGAACACTGGGACGCCATGTCATCCGGACCAGAGAGGACAAGGATAGCCCAAGTTGTTATCAACGTTCCGTTCAGAAGCCTGCATCACTGATGGTATGGGGTTGCATGAGCGCTTGTGGCATGGGCAGCTTGCATGTCTGGAAAGGCACCATTAATGCAGAGAACTATGTTCAGGTTCTAGAACAACATATGCTCCCATCTAGACGTCATCTCTTTCAGGGAAGACCCTGCATTTTTCAACACGATAATGCCAGACCACATTCTGCAGCAATCACAACATCATGGCTACCAAGGAGAAGGATCCGGGTACTGAAAAGGTCAGCCTGCAGTCCATGTATTAGACATGAATGGGAGAGCATTCCTAATTCTAAACTTGAGAAACTGGTCTCCTCTGTCCCCAGATGTCTGTTGAGTGTTGTAAGAAGAAGGGGGGATGCCACACAGTGGTAAAAATGGACTTGTCCCAACTTTTTTGGGATTTGTTGACACCATAAAATTTGGAAACAACAGATTTTTCCCTTAAAATGATACAATCTTTCAGTTTAAACTTTTGATCTGTGATTTGTGTTCTATTCTGAATAAAATATTAGATGTTGGCACCTCCACATCATTGCATTCAGTTTTTATTCACAATTTGTTTAGTGTCCCAACGTTTTTGGAATCCGGTTTGTACTTTATGAAGAATTTTATGTTTGTTTTGCTGTTCTTTGCCTACTTTTGTATTTACTAATATTTGAGGTCAATTTACAATTAGTTTGTTCACACATGAAAAGTTGCATGTGTAAACTATTTTGGTAATTAAGGGCACTTTTTCCATCAGAGCTGTTAAATTGGCTGGAGTTTGTTTTTTCAGAAAGTCTGATTTGTTTGGGAAGATGTTCTCATCCAAAGTCAAGTCAAGTCAGATTAATTTATGAAGCACATTTAAAACAGAAATTGTTACCAAAGTGCTTAACAAAAATATCACAGCATCAAATAAAAAATAACAAGATATATTTTCAGCGCACGGAATAAAAATATAAAACACATAACATAATTAGAAACAATGAAATACTAAATTAGATCACCTTGTGTCAAATGCCAAGGAAGTAATAACAAAAAGCATAAGCTTAGTCAGAAACAATGAAATACTAAATCAGATCCAGTTACCGTGTGTTAAATAGGAATAAAACAAAAAGCATAAACACAATTAGAATTAAAGCTGCAAGCAAAATTGGAGGCCCACGCAGCAAAGCGTCGCTCCAGCCTTACGGCGACCGAGTGAGCTCCAGCTAGTCCACCCAGTCGCCATCGCGAACACTCTCGTGCCAATCCCACACGCGTTCACCACAGGGCGCATTTCCCGAATCTTCAACATCGCCTTCCATCCATGTTGTTACTTGTCCAGCAGCAGGTCTTACAAATATAGGCAAAATCTGACCTTCCAGACAGGAGTTATTGTGACTTCCCGTTTTGTGGTGAATGTTTGACTAGCACTTCCTTTATGCTTTTCAACATGTCATATGTAGTAATCAACAGTTAGTGAACAAAGTTTCAGTCTAAAATCTTACACAGTTCGAAGCTGGAATCCAATACTTGACAGTTTTTTCTCTGAGTAGGTGGGGCTTAAGTTATGTCATGAATCAATACCAATGTATCTACAAGTGCTCACTGATGAAGCACAAAAACTCAGGTTCAGATTGGATGATGTATCACTGAGATATAACTGTTGGAATAATGTAGGTGGCACACTTGAGTCCAATGTTAAAGAACAATATCAATGTGTCTATAAGTGCTCACTGATCACGCACATAAAATCTGGTACATATCGGATGATGTATCACTGAGTTCTAACTGTTGGAATAATCTAGGGGATGCACTTGAGTCAAAAGTTAAACAATACCAGTGTGTGTACAAGTGCTCACTAATGGCTTATCAAAAATCTGGCCTAGATCGGATGATATTTCACTGAGATATAACTCTTGGAATAATCTAGGGGGCACAATTGAGTCATATGTTAAACCACAATATCAATGTGTCTAGACGTGCTCACTGATTATGCATAAAATATCTGTTTCCGATTGGATCATGTATCATTGAGATATCACTGTTGGAATAATGTTGGGGGTGCACTGGAGTCAAAAGTTAAACAACAATACCAGTGTGTCTAGAAGTGCTCCTTAATCACCAACCCAAAATCTGGTTCAGATCAGATGATATGTCACTGAGATATAACTTTTGGAATAATCTAGGGGGTGCACTTGAGTCATATGTTAAACCACAATATCAATGTATATAGAAGTGCTCCCTGATCATGCACAAAAAATCTGGTGCAGATCAGATAATATATCATTGAGATATAACAGTTTTAATAATCTAGGGGGCATACTTGAGTAAAATGTTAAACAACAAGAACAATGTGTCTAGAAATGCTCACATATGATGCCCCAAAAATCTGTTGCGGATAGGATGATGTATCATTGAGATATAACTGTTGGAATAATCTAGGGGGCAAACTAGAGTCATATGTTAAACAACAATATCAATGTGTCAAAAAGTCTTCACTGATGACGCATAATACATATGGTACAGATCGGATGTTGTATCACTGAGCTATAACTGTAGGAATAATGTAGGTGGCGCTTTGGAGGCTATTGGCCACTTATCATGGATACCCGTTCAAAGGGCGCATAATGATCGATCATAGTGATTTTGGTGCACCTCGGCTGAAATCTGTGCAATTTAGAACCAAACGTATTGCAACGGCGTCACTTCTTGATTCGCCACGCTGCCACGCCCACATCCTCAAGAAAAAACGGTTTAAACTTTAAATCAATTCAGACCATATTATCTGTCTTCTAACTCAGGATCATCCTGATTAAGTCAATGATGTAAAAGAGGGAGCATTCCAAGTTCAAAGAGAGACTTCCTACTCTGAGGGGGTGGGGCTTTGATGACGTC